TCCTCAGGCCGATCCAGCACTAGGAAGGCTGCCAAATTGGCAGTATAAGATGCAACTATAATCATAGCAAAACCAGCCCACACCATACCTAAAATCCTTGCTGAAAAGCTCCGAGGGGCACCTGTGAATGTAAGTGGAGAGGTGAGAGCGCTAAAGAAAATGATGCTTACTGCAAAACCAATCAAACACAGAGTCAGCAATATTTCCACCTCACAGCACCAATAGACCGAATAATAATCTTACTGCTGATGTCTACCTTCTCCAATGCCGGAGTTCAGAAGTACACCCCAGGAGAACCACATAGCAGAGGATAAGGTGAGGGCATCTTCTTCTTCCTCTTCACTATTTACTTTAAACCTTCCAAACGGGCTGCACAGCAAAGCGCATATCAGTCAGAGACAGATGCTTTTAAACTGCATCCAGACAATGTTGTTAATCTTCAGCCAAACTTCTGAGATCTTCTGCAAACTTTATTAATATCAAGCTTCATTCTCACATCTGTGTGTTTAGTCATTCCTACATCTATCCATGGATGACTTCTAAAGAGATAGTTCACCCAAAAAGAAAATCCTGTCATCTTTATGTCATTTTCTTCATGATTTTCTTATATTTTAAAGAATGTTGACTCTTTATTGTATTATTTTATTGTACAGACTAAATATTTTCAAAATATCTTCTTTTGTGTTCCAAAGAACAAAACATCATACAGCTTTAGAATGACATGTGGGTGAGTAAATGATGACATAATTTACATTTTTTGGATAAACTATCCCATTAAGGTGTCAACAAATATTGTCCTTTACCTGAAACGGTCTAATAGGTAGAGCATCACCGCCACAACATGGACCGATAGACCCACCAGTAACCACAGAGTGCTCTGAAAAGGCTGCATGAACGAGTCCAGCGTACTGCGTGGTATTTCCTGCAAAATAACACCGCTTTATCCAATCCAACAAACACCACCCACATCGCCACATGCATCACCATATGGAGCATCAAATGGAGTCTACATCTACACTGGTCAGAGGTGTATTAATAGATTTCACTGTACTCCAGAGTCAACTGATTTATCACAGCGTTTTCTCAGTACAGAGATAAGCCCACTTCAGAGAATTCAATTAAATCAAGAAAATGTAATACTATTTCCGTCCCAGAAAATCATGTTCTCAGAGGATTTTTCCAAAAATTAATTACATTTCAGATACTTTATTTATAACTTGAAGTTGAAAACTCAAATGAAACTGACCCCAGATCTTCCATTTTCCCCCCTCATTGGTCTCAGGGAATAATGCAGTTTCAAAGGGATAGTTCATCCAAAAAAGAAAATTCAACTTCATATTATTGCAAACCAGTATGACTTTTTTTTGTTATGTGGAACAGAAAACAAGATATAACTGTTTTTGCCCATACATTGAAAGTTAGTGGGATCCAGAACAACGCTGGATGCCATTGATTTTCATTGCATGGATTGTATGGATGGAAAAAAATAAATCTAATTTTCATTTTTGAATGACCTGTCCCTTTAAAGTCTGTACATTAAAACGATGATCTGTAGGTCATCTGAGGCTCACCTTTTTGACAAGTATTGTGAGCCCCTGGTACTTGAACGGTTTCGAGAACTCTATATACTGGGCTCGTTCATTGTTGATTGTAAGTGGAGCCACAATCATGTCTGCCAAGCCACTCAGGAGCTCTCCCATCATGCCATTCCACTCCTTCTTGTTGCTGTTATTTACCTGGCATCAGGGAGATAACATTAAGCAACTTGTCATGCCTAAATGCACTTTACTTTATGTATATTTCAGCAGATTCTTAACAGCATCTGTGAAGAAGACTTGGAAATGCGCAGACAAGCCTAGTTGCATGACCTTGAAAAAGACATGCAAAGCTTCAGGCAGGTGAAGAATCAATAAAGTTATCATATTACTCACACGCTCCTGAGTGCCAAATTTGCCATCAGCCACTAGATGCACTTCATAGGTGAAGTTCATTGTCATTGCAAGTTTGATCAAAAGGTCAATGCAGAACCCATAGCAGCACTGAGGCACTATGGGGCGACCTATAGTTACACAAGCCAGTCAGATCTGGACAAAGCACTTTAGTCCAACAAACTATATATAATATAATACATAATGTCTACCTGGAATGGTCTCATTAGGGCCAGTGCAGATCACTTTTTTGATCAGGACTCCATTTACAGTGTGCTCTTCCTTACATGTTCCATCTCGTAGTGTTGGTTTCACATAGACAAAGGGCTCTTGATGAATGGTGACAATCTAGCAAAGGAACGAGAGAACTAAATGTCAATGTAATGTTCTTATTATATTTATTTATTTATTATTTTAGAACAAAAAACAATGATGCATAAAAAGCCTTGAAATAAAGTACCTTCAATCTTGTTGACATTTGATACCCTTTTGGCTTTTCAGTCTCTCCTCCTGGCCAAATAATCTTCCTCTGAGTGTTCATTACAACCTAGAACAAAATATTTTGTCGTCAGTAACGTTCAATCATTTCCATTACTATAAATGAATTTACTTTGGAATATTGTAAAAACAATTTCATATAATTTTTGCCAGACAATAACAGAATATATATATATATATATACATACATAGAGAGAGAGAGAGATGTTTTCACTGCATTTGCTCTTTTTTTTGCTCATATGTAAGCATCATTTAAAATAAGTGTAAATGTTGTTTTTTCAATGTTTTCAAACATTAATCTTGGTTAAATGTTAATTTTGTAGAAATGTTAAAATTTCTACATATACTAATACCTTGTTAAAAAGTAAATTTGTATAATTGAATTAACAGCTACTGTACTTCAAATTAATAATGAACTACAGTATACAAAGAAGACTGCACAAAGAAAATATATTCAATTAGACCCTTTATAAACTGTAAGCACGTATGTAATCTATAGGCTTCAATGTCCTAGCAACTGTTTCTATTTGTGTCAAATTAAGCATAGATTGTAAGATAAGACTATGGGGATCATAAAAATGCAATTAGTACAAGGCTGCGTTTACACTTGGCATTAACATGCGATCACCGTGATCTGATCAAGCAGATCGGATCATCAGTCAATCAGGACACGACGCGTTTACACTTGGCAGCATCAGCTGACTTCTCGATCTGGATAACCGCAGAGGTGTAAAGAGTACCTAAAAACCATACTTGAGTAAAAGTACAGATACCTTACAGTGAAAATTACTCCACTACACGTTACAAGTCACCAATTCCAAAACAGCTTGAGTAAAAGTCTTAGAGTATCTGATTTTAACAGTACTTTACACAGTACTTTAAAATACTTTAACAGTATTTTACTTATACTAAATATAGGCTCAAAGATGCACTAATCAAAGCCTCGCATTTCAGGAAGACAAACATTTCAGGTGAAGGATAATCCACTTCTTACCTACGAGACTGTGTTATGATCTATATGACCTTATTATTTTTATTGTGAGTATTAGGTCTATCATTACTGCTGATCACTGTTGTTGTGCTATGTTATTGTAATATTCACCATTATATAATCAGAGGAGTATAGAAAAGTTTATGAAATTGTCACTCCACAATACAATAGCAAAATATATAAATATGTATAGTATTTTTATGTTACATTAATCAGTGTCTAGCACACCTTCCTAAGGAAAGGATATGGACCAGAAGACATTGCAATTACTAAATGATATTTAGACAGACTTAAAGAAGTTCCAGATCTATACTTGTGCTCTTATTATTTCAGTTATTTTGCCTTTAATGTAAATAAACATGTGCAAACAATATACTTGCTCTTGTGAATTTATTTTGATGTTAATTACATTGTGCCAGCTGTCTCTTTAATACCACGTGGTTTATATACATGTCGCTGCTGATTAGGCTGACATGTTTGACACACCCACCAAACAAGAGAAAACATATCTCAAACCCCGTTGCACACCGTTTCCAGGAAACATGTCGTTCAAACCGGAAACTGTAGCAAAACGTTGCGCACCTGTTTGAGCTTGAACTTGCCCCTGTTTTCCGGGTTTGGTTAGGTGACATTCGACATATACCCTATAGGTATATAGGGTATTCGACATATCCCCCTGTAATGGTTCTTTTGGTTTCTCCCAACTTCACTGACTAATTGTACTTACACCTGTAATTAATTTGATACCTGATACACTCTAAGGAAGGCTGAAGGCTGAAATGCTTTAGTGTGCAGTGTTTTAGTCATTTATATTTATAAATGAACATTTCCTGAGATAAATAAATGCTGTAAAAAATGGTTGTTCATTGATGATACTTATATACTGTAACCTTACTGTAAAGTGTTACAATAAAATTACAGTATGCAACTGTCCAAACTGTTAAAATAGCAAATGTTTGCACCGAGCAGAAGGACAGCTCATTAAAAAGACTGGGCCGATTTCATACTTGCGAGCCATTGTAGACGCCCACTTGCACCAGCCGGGTTTTCTGGTAGTTCAGAATGCTGTAGTGGGCGAACCTCCTGTCTCCGTCATCATTAAACTCCACGCGGCCTGTCAGGCCATCTGGATACTTGGATGACATCAGCACTCTAGTACACCAGAGGGGTTTTTTTAGAAAAGGCACAAAATGCTCATTGAAACAAGAAAGGAAGACATTGACGATGACTGGAAGTAATGGAAGTTAACCAGAAATTCAGAGATGGGGGATGCAGGTATGTCTTAGGAAAAGACATGACTAAATAGGAAAGAATTAGGGGGTGTCGTGTGGGGTGGGGTGGAGTCAGATGGCACGTATAATGTGCAGGCACAGACATAGGAGAACAGAAATGACACCTGTAAGGTAACCTGTCTCAAATTGGGTCTCAAATGCAAATAGGTGCCACCAGATTTCACAAGGCCAATGTAATCAACAACTTAACAGGCTTGATGTGTCCTTGCACTCGATTATTACTCTGTTTGAGGAGTCAAGGCATGGTTTCAGAAGCCAAAAGCTAACGATTTCAATGTTTGTGGTGTGAAAGCTTCCACTCTTGTCAGTGCCAGACCAGTGGTTATGTATGATAATGCATGACAGCAAATGGATGGTTGGTTGGAAAGCTAGCGAATGCTAGCCAGCGCTCATCCCTGGCCTCACCGTTTGAAGAGTGGGCCAGTCTTCCAGATGTTTGTATTGCCAACACAGCCTCGAGGAGGCTCTGTGATATTCTCCTTCTCAAAGAGCTCCTGAATGGACTGGGCCACCACAGCCACGGCATCGTAGATGTGTGCAGACTCGTTCTTGCCATTGATAAGCTGAAGGCCGAGCAAGCCTGCCCAGTTGACAACATTACATGGTGTTGGCCAATGCCTCACAACACGACTCTCACTTCAAGAGCATGTCAATGCATACTCATAATAAAGAAATGCACACATTGGCAGAGAGAAACAAACGTGCATTGCACATGAGCGATAAATTGTCTCAAAACAGACAGAAGGACTGTGAAAGTCATGGGGGGTTAGGATAGGGTCAGCAGAATGGCGTGAAGTTGAACATGGATGTGTATATAAAGAAGCCGGGAACAAAGAAATGCGGTTGTCGCTTACCATGGTATCCACACCTCAATGTGGAGGTAGCAATGCACCACTTATAAATAAACTCATGACAGCCAAGCCTTAAAAATGTATGCACATTCAAACCAATATGGATTACCACAACTCTCAATTGCATCATTTGTTGTCTACTGAAAGAAAGGACATAGAAAAAGACATGACGATAACTAGGGAAGAGTTAGGGGGTGTCGTGTGGAGTGGGGTGGGGTGGAGTCAGATGGCACGTATAATGTGCAGGCACAGACATAGGAGAACAGAAATGACACCTGTAAGGTAACCTGTCTCAAATTGGGTCTCAAATGCAAATAGGTGCCACCAGATTTCACAAGGCCAATGTAATCAACAACTTAACAGGCTTGATGTGTCCTTGCACTCGATTATTACTCTGTTTGAGGAGTCAAGGCATGGTTTTAGAAGCCAAAAGCTAGCGGTTTCAATATTTGTGGTGTGAATGCTTCCACTCTTGTCAGTGTCAGACCAGTGGTAATGTATGATAATGCATGACAGCAAATGGATGGTTGGTTGGAAAGCTAGCGAATGCTAGCCAGCGCTCATCCCTGGCCTCACCGTTTGAAGAGTGGGCCAGTCTTCCAGATGTTTGTATTGCCAACACAGCCTCGAGGAGGCTCTGTGATATTCTCCTTCTCAAAGAGCTCCTGAATGGACTGGGCCACCACAGCCACGGCATCGTAGATGTGTGCAGACTCGTTCTTGCCATTGATAAGCTGAAGGCCGAGCAAACCTGCCCAGTTGACAACATTACATGGTGTTGGCCAATGCCTCACAACACGACTCTCACTTCAAGAACACGTCAAGGCATACTCGTAATAAAGAAATGCACACATTGCCAGAGAGAGAAACAAACGTGCATTGCATATGAGCGACAAATTGTCTCAAGACAGACAGAAGGACTGTGAAAGTCATGGGGGGTTAGGATAGGGTCAGCAGAATGGCGTGAAGTTGAACATGGATGTGTATATAAAGAAGCCGGGAACAAAGAAATGCGGTTGTCGCTTACCATGGTATCCACACCTCAATGTGGAGGTAGCAATGCACCACTTATAAATAAACTCATGACAGCCAAGCCTTAAAAATGTATGCACATTCAAACCAATATGGATTACCACAACTCTCTATTGCATCATTTGTTGTCTACTGAAAGAAAGGACAAACACTCAAAAATGAAACAAATTAAACATTAGACATAAAGCACAGTACAATGAGTAAAGAATCACTGTGTTTTAAACCTTTAAGCATGGAGATGTTTAAACGTTTAAACACGCAAGTACAGCACAGACACTGATTCGTTGATGGGGATTGCAAATTGTAATCGTATAAAAAGCTTAAAAGGCAAACATGTTCAGTTTGTTAAAAAGCCTGAGAGAGAGAGACAGAGAGAGAGAATGAGTGGATGAAAATGGAGAGGATGAAAAGTACATACCATCTGGGGCTTCACTCAGTGCTTTACCAGACATCTCCCTTTCTCCAACCAGCCACACATAACCAGGGCCTGTCATATTGAGCTGGCGTGCCGCTTTGTAAATGGCTGCGGCTTCGTCTTCACTGTGATTGGGTAAAGATTGGTAGTAAGAGATTGGAGTGATTGGAGTTAACACCTCCAATTATAATGTTATGAGCAAGAGTATCAGCGTATCAAATATTCTACACATTTCTTAGTGTATTTTTATGTTAAATATGTTTGTAGTCACCAGAGTGTAAAAACATTTTGCCATATTACGCAGAATGCCTCAGATTTCCCCTAAGTCTGTCTGTTTAATCTGTGTGGGCCTGATTATGAGTGACTCATGAAGGGCAGAGAAACTGTTTGACATTTTGAGGCAATCTCTTGTTAACAAATTAGATGTTGGCTCATTTAATCAGAAAATGCCTTATGAAGTGATTGTACTGAGGCCGGACATCATTTTAGCTTTATTTGCTATTATTTTTAATATTTTAATGTATAAACTCACTGAACTGGTTCACTTTTCAAATATACGCAGTGCACTGAGAATGTCTTTTAAATTTCCGATTCAATTCCTGAATCTAAACTGAATTTTGAACCAAACATGATTTTGGATTCTGAATGCATATATATATATATATATACTGTATATATATACTGTATATATATATATATATATATATATAGAGAGAGAGAGAGAGAGAGAGAGAATCAATTGGCCATTTTGACTTATATTATATTATAATGTATTTAACAAATGTACTTTTGTGGACTAGGGGCTGTATTACAGAAACTTCCTATCTTTATTTTTGACTTGTGAAAATATCTGAAAAAATATGTGGAAAAAGGGAAAATGACCATAGTTACTAAACAGATAGAATAGGATTCTAAGTTAGGATGTTTCTATAATACAGCCTCAAGATAGAACACTTTATTTCCCAGAAAGCACTATCTGAATTTCTTTGACTTGCAATTTAGTAAATCAATCCAATCAAAGTCCTATCATTCCAATCCATTTTAATTCTAAATCAGTTCCAACTTCTTGTGAGATGTGACCAATTCAGTTAAAATTCCAACTGATTTAAATAGCAACACAAATATCTTTTTAGAATTCTCCAGCCCAGGCTTCACCATTTTTGCTTGCACTAAGTCAGTCTCTTGTATTATTCAGTAACATTAGCGATTAGGAGTAATGGGTTAAACAGTGGAGATGAACTCACCTTGCAGAAAGGATGATAACTCGGGCCTCTAGCTCTTTGGCTTCCTGGAGCAGAGCCGTCAGATTTGTGTCTTGGCTGAACAGGAGCACTTTCTCTGCCTGGGATTAGGACACAACATTAGTCAAGTAGTTGACTCATCCCCACCATGAACCATGCTCTTTGAGCGCTTGCATTTTGTTCTCCTTTTTCTCTTTTTTTTCTTTCTTTTTTTTTTTTTTGGGGGGGGGAGGGGGTTTGAAAAAAATGAAGTAAAAAAAGATAATCTGTTTAATAATCTGCTTAAATGAAAAAAACTTAAGAAAGCTTGGAGCAGGTAAAAAGTTCTGCATTTTCACATGCAAACTCAAGGGAATCAAGATTCCAAGGAAAAACGTGCATGTTAGAGGAAGAGGGAGAAGAAGATTGATGCATCCGGAAAGCAAAAAACAGGTGAAGGAAGGTGGTGGTGGTGGTGGTGGCTTCTTTCCCAACCAAAAACAAACAAACAAACAAAAACAACAAAAAGGAAGAAATGCTGCAGAAAGGTGGGAGTAACATCTGGATAGTGCCTGTCCCACAGGACCAGATCTCCACGCACTGTGTCAAAAGAATAGACTTGCAATCTTGCTGGCTTCAATACATGCATTCCTTTACACAAAAATAAAAAAGTGAGAGGTGGGGTAGCGAGTTTTTGTATACGCTTTAACAGAAAAAAAACCCATTCTTGATTGAAATCATAAAAAGAATCCAAACAAATAAATAGACGTGCTGGCAGGATAAGGATCTCTGGAATCGGTTTGTTGATTGTTTGACTGCTTTCTAGTGGCTACTTTCAGATAACTTTTGGGCGGCGTGCATTGACCATGCAAATATACCTTGGGTCCTCGCTTGTTGTCAAAGGACAGTTGGTCGAGGTTTTCATAGTTCCTGTTTTTACTCTGATGAATAATGTGCACAGAGAAAATATGCAGACACAGAATATTATAAACAGTTATAAATGGTGCGCAGTAAAGCATTCCAACAAATCTCCACTTTTCTGCTTCAAATTGGGAAACTCTAATCCTGGGGCTTGCAAAAACATCAACAAAGACTACATGGAGCAGACAACCTTATCTATCCTTGCATATGACCTGAACCTGTACGCTATTATTATGATGACTTCTCCTCCTTTAATTCTCTTCATATTTAATTTTAATTTAACTTTTTCACTTGCATTTAATTAATACACTTGCCCTGAGTGTGCTCCTTGCTTTAGCACAATTAATAATAAATTCTAATGCCTTCTGAACTCTATTTCTTTATAATGAATTGCTGTTTGTTAATTGTGCAATACAGTCAAGCGCAACCTAATACCATCCATCAATTTAAATTTCTTTATTCGTCAATCTACCGTAAAAGAACATCAGCTACAGTCCATGAAGCACAAGAAGTTGCTGCCACAAGACATATCTGTCCAGGCATATAGACAGACATGTCTTGTGGCAATATTGAAAAAACATTTTTTTCAAGCACTCTATCAAGATAATGCACATTTTTCAGAGCCACAGAATCTGCATACCTATATTTTCTGTTTGTCTGTCAAACGTTTGTTGCTTTTGCAGAGCACAAACAAAATTAAAAAGTAAAACTCTGCTAGGCTAAATAGATGGACATAGATTATTTGAGATTATTTTTATGCATTTACAGTTTTTCTGAATTGCTAAAACACTAAACCCCAATCTCTGAACCAAATTCTCACTAGCTTAAACCAATTTGTCGAATAGAGCACTCTTTCTGCTAAACTCTTTGTCTAGCAAAAAAGACAACATTACTTGTGATGTGGACAAAGTCCTCAGGCCGGACACAAGCACAAAGACATGATACTGAGACAGAATGAATCTCTCATTGACCCTGATTTTACAATTGCACAATTTACAGTATTTGAGTGTACTGTAACGTGCTATTCATTTAGAGTTTTACAGTATTTGAGCTTTTTGGCCTTTGCAGTTGGACTACAGTAATTTTGCAATATCCAAGCGCTGAATATATACAAACATTCAGTACTATATTCAGCACAATACTATTCTTGCAGCACATACAGTAGGCCTATACAATATATTCACCTTACTCAGTTGCAATTACTATATTTTTATAAAATAGCAAAATTGTTTACTCAATATAATATACCTTTTTTTGTAATGTTCTGGATGCTGTGTTCTCCATTTTTCTCTGTAGTGTCTAATGAATGCTCTGAAGAGTTTATTTTATTGACTCGTGTGTGTGATCTGAGAGCACCGTTTGATTTTGCAGTGATTGTTTTGATTTTGATGGTGTCGTGAATTTAGTTTGAGTATTTGGATTTGTGTTTAAGGTTTTGAGAAAATGAGTGATGGTTTCAAGAAATGGGTTTTAGCAATTCAGAAAAAATGTAATACATATTTGTATTTGTAAGATTTTTGTGCCTGACTGTATCAGGCTTCAGCAGCTGAACATATTCTCAGCCAGATTTGTGGGATTTTTTTTTGAGTAATTAATTGAGTGCATGTATGTATGAATGCATGTACTGTATGTGTGTGTGTGTCTGTATATATATATATATATATAAAAGCAGACATTTCTACTGATGGAAATGAAGAGTTAAAAGCCTGTTTGCCCCCTAAACTCACAACGGACTGAGAAAAACTGTTGTTTTTCTTGTCTATCATAATGGCTTAATATGCAGCTTTAATATGCAGCCATCCAACCGTGTGGACAACGTGCAGGCAAAGTTTTGTTGTAATAACAGACACAACCGAAAGACTTTCATGAGCCCTTCTACTGACCAAATCTGACCAAATCTGACCCAAACCAATCTGAGAATGTGCATATAAAAACAGCTGGCCTTGGGGCTGCCATTGCTGAAAATGACATTGCAATGACATTGCAAGTGTCCTAAAAATACAGTGCCATGCTAATGGATTCAGGTCCCGAAGAAATGTCTCTTTTTACTGAATTACAAATCATTATTCTGTTCTAATTTAGACAATGCATATGTAACCTTTCACTATAATCAGACATATCTGTACAAATGCAAAAGCTGAAGAGGTTTAATGCTCACATGGTGCGTAACTGCCTTTATCTTCACATTTGTTGTGAAATACTTTCTTACATAATGTGCAATATTGAACAGCGCAAAGCTGCACACAGAGAACACTCAATGAATCAGTCATTGTCTGTTGCTGGGAAGACATTCTCACAGAAACTCAAAGCAACCAAATTCTCTTGCCGTTGATTTTTTGCACAGCCCCAGGCTAAGTCCCTCATTTTGCTCCTGTTGTGGATAGACAAATAGGAGAATCTGACTATGGTAAAAAGCAATGTGAGATGAATAGAAAAGTACAAAGTTTTGCAGATAAACCACTTAAGACGCTGCTGATGCCTCTGGCATAAATAATGTTAGCCAATGGAAAGAAATGTGTTTACACAACAGAAAAAAGGAAACGTTTAACATATACAGTGGGTACGGAAAGTATTCAGACCCCTGTGATATTTCAGTTTTTCTTTTTTAATAAATCTGCAAAAATGTCAACGATTCTGTGTTTTTCTGTCAATATGGGGTGCTGTGTGTACATTAATGAGGAAAAAAAATTAACTTAAATGATTTTAGCAAATGGCTGCAATGTAACAAAGAGTGAAAAATTTAAGGGGGTCTGAATACTTTCCGTACCCACTGTATAGAGGACCTCTGAGATTTTGATTACAGGAACACACGCTGACTTACACACGCACGCTCATTTACATGCTGGGCCATGTGAGTCGGCAGTCCACGCATCTCACCTTCGTCTCCCTCTCCTCCAGCAGGGTTTCTAGTCTTTTTTGTGCCGCTCTGCCCTCGTGGTCATCACTCACAATCAGGATGATGTGATTCCACTGGAACTCACGCATCATGTCAAACCACACTTGGGCTTGGTGGGAATAGGGTGGCACCGTGCGCAGGAAGGAGAGGTGGATGCTCTAGATGGACGGTTGGGGGGAAAGAACTAGTGAATCTCAAAGGCCCGAGGCAATTTCAGTTCATTAGAATTTAATCACTTTAACTGTAATTAATTTAGAGACGGATCCAAACATCACTTCTTAGAGTGCCAAAATGCCATAAGGCAAAGTATAAGTGAATCTAAAAGAGTCAATCGGTCATAATGCTATATGCAGTATTTATGAAAGTTTTTAATTAAAGGTAGATTAATACTAAACTGAAAACGAATAAACATTTATCAAATTATTCTGCTCTTTACGAGGAGTAGAAAAACATCATGGAGGTGGGCCATCATGTAAAAACATATTTTCAGGGCTTCGCTACACTATATCCTGCAGAAAAGGTTTTCACACTTCAAAACTCCAAGCCAACCATATTCAAAATGTGACTGAAGAAAAGAACAGATGACATCTGCAGTGAAGCGCAAGTAGAATTTCTGTCTGAAATATAGTGAGTCATAAACCAGCTGCCGGTGGTCTCCCACACTCACCTTATCGGAGTAGATGGACATGCGGGTGGTGAGGCCCACTACAGGGATACGGTAAAAACCAGCTGTGTAGGACACTGGAGTGGGAGTCAGATGGTCGTTGGACTGGGGTGGGTGGCTCACCAAGATCGCATACACCTGAAGACATGAGGAACATAGTGAGGAGACAAATCTGGCAAAGCTTTGTAACTTGATTTGAATTTGTCACAAACACTTCTAAGCTACAGCGTAAAAGTCCTCTTCAATCCTGGTATTTTGATAGCCTACCTGTACTATATTGCATATTTTAAAATTAATCAATAAATCAATACATGACTAATGAATTAATGACACAATGTATATACAAACCTACTTCACCTACTAAAATCTGTAATAGAAAAATACTGATAACCAGATCCATAACAATACTTTAACTATTATTAATAGTAAACTAGAAGACCATATTAATTAAACTGGCATTGTTGTCAAACAAAGACCACTAAGCAAACAAAAATATGACAATAAAATAACACCAAACATTAGCTTAATAACATGATACGTAATTTAACCACATTATCACTGACTTCTTAGATTCTGATTGGTCATTTGATATTTTATAGACTGCGTTGCAAATTCACAGGGTCCCTACGCATGCGGAACGATGTATGTTATAATACATCGTGTACACGTCCAGTTTTGGGAAATCCGCTTGGGAAAGGAGATATTCGTCCTCGTGCACATGGATCGCATAACATTATGCGCGGTGTTAGTATCAATATGTCAGTCTTAAGGTTATCTATAAGGCAGTGTGCTCCAAAATTCGCATTTAGAAGATATAAGCATTCAAAGCTTTTAGTTTGTCACTTCCGCCAAAACGGCTCAACGATTTTTTTGACGTCACATCGTACTTCAGCTTCTCATCAAACTTTCTGTCCAATCAAATGCTCTCTAGAATCCGAAGCGCCCGCCCCCTACACTATAAAATAGACGCCGAAGCCGCGGCTGAAATCGGTCACTTGTCCACAGAATTTGTATTTTCTGTACAGTGAATGGCACGTAGTGCACTATATAGGGGACAGGGAACGATTCAAACAGTGTAAATATGCTTTCCATTGAGGAAAAAAAGAAGTCTGGTTTGACGCTGTGTCACGCTAACCACCGCACCGCACACACACTCTGCTCTGGTCCAGAGACACGATAGCACGGAGCGGATCACATGCGCGAGTCGGCGCAGACTACAAAATGTATCGGAGCTACTTGAATTCTACACAGAATGCTATATTTGATAGCAATATGGATGAGATTGTGGCTGGCATACCCTGTCAAATGCGGCTTTAACTAAAAATGAACTCCCAAAACTTACTGCCAGATTCTGGAAGATTAATTTTTCAAACAGTGGTACAAGAGGATGTGGTGCTGGTCCTTCTAGAGTCACTCTCAACTGATCTGTCTATAAAGCCTATATATATACAGTGGGTACGGAAAGTATTCAGACCCCCTTAAATTTTTCACTCTTTGTTATATTGCAGCCAT